GTGTTGTGTGCATACCTCTGTGCATGACTCTCCGAGAGTGCATATGTTCAAGCGCACTGCAGAGCTGAACAAAGTACTTCCACACTGTTCTCTCTGGGATAAGCCTTCTCTGCTTCTTAAAGTGCTGTGAAGTAAATACAAACACACACACACACACACACACACACACACACACAATCAGGACATCAAAGTAAAAATGACATACAAGTGAAGGAAGGAACAAACAAAACATTTTTATTATAAATGGAAAAAGTCCCGTGTGGCACAGAATACAATTTCAAGTGTGTGTCTTTGTACAGTATCGCTCTGCGACTCCGCTCCTAATGCGACCCAGACTCTTGTCTAGCTCTGTCCATTTGCTTAACCGAGCTCCGTCTCATTTTCTCTATGCTCTACAATAGAAAGCACATGCATCCTCAGAGACGGGCAGAAGAAATTTGTGGTACCATCTAAAACTCTCCCATCTGGCACGCAGCACTTCTGTTAGGTGCAGCTTTCTGTGGCACGGTGGCTCCAGCAGTTTAAAAAGTTTATTTATTTATTTCCGGAGAGCCGAGTGTTGTCGTTCATCACACTGGTCCCTGTCGAGAAAAGGCCTCGTGATGACAGAGCTTATTGATCTACGATGGCTGAAACTAAGAACCGATGATAGGAGCTCCTCCTCAAACAGCAGTGCAGACTAACCAAATGCATAAAGTATGGCTGACATCAGAGTTTTATGGGGTGGCTCCATTTGCAGGGTGGGAAAAAAAGCCTGGCTTGTATGCACGCCTGAATGAGAGGCGTGCATATGAGAATTAAGTATTTAGAACAAATTATTTAGAAAAACTCAAAGTGGAACACTCCAGTAAGTTACCTGCCTGAAACACTGATGCACTGCTCACACACCACCAAAGGTTAATAACATATGTAACTAAATATGATGATTGAGTAATACTAGTGGAAACTGACTGTATCGGCCCGTGGCACTGGCTGCCGCTGCTCTGCTTCAAATCAGACCAAATTTAATGATTCCGGGAGAACAAATAGTAACAAAAGTGGCTACTTTTAAAATTGTTACTATAAACAATGTTACCATAAACAATGTTACTATAAACAATGTTACTATAAACAATTCTAAACTTCAGGGGCAACAGCAATGCTTAAAATGATCATCAATAAACGTCTTTTGTTTCCTTATTTTCTGTTTGTAAACATGTTTCTGTTTACACAGTCACACCTAGCTTTAGGCTGGGCTCTTTATTTAGTAACAAGCTGCAGTTTTAAGGTCGTTCCCATCTTCATCACATTTCATCTGAAACATTTAGCAAACAAAGTGGAAATCATGCTACAACTAAAAATACACCCCAGACACTGTGACAACAATCTTGTTTGTCGATATGTTAAAATCAGTCAACGTGAACAATTTCAGCGAGCCAAACGTCTGATGTTTGATATCGCTGCATTATGCAATCTGTGCATCCCGACCGTTTCTGCGTTTGTGCCACGCAGAAGAACGTGATCATCAGTGAAGAAGAAGCAAGTCACAGGATAGGGCTGTTAATTATTGCAGAATATAAAAAGAGATTTTAAAAAAAGAGGAAATGTAAGATGTGAGAGTGTAAACACGATGGGAGCCAGTAAAGGAAACGATGCAGGTGAGGGATGCAGAAAATTAAGGTTAGGAAGAAAGGAAGGATGGAGATGGATGGAAGGAGAGAGGGAGGGATAGACCTTGGCCTACATCCAAACAAAGCCTCAGTGAGGAGCCATTCTTCCTTTGCCCTCCCATTTCCATATCAGAGGACCGTTTGATGTCAATGGGGGAGCACATAGACGCCCACCGACACCACCACCGCGCTCTTCTCCACGCCTTTAACAGCAAACACTGCACATGCAATATTCTGTAAGTGCATGCAAATCAAGGACCATTTGATTTCATTTGAATTCTGAGATGGTCAGAAAGAGAGAGAGTAATAGAGAAGTGAGGGAGAGAGAGAGAATATGTTAGAGCAGCGTGGAGGACGAGAAATCAAACAGAATAAAAAATGTTAAACTCGTGCATGGGGGGTGCGTCTGCTTTACATATGGCACACTGTACTTATGTGTTTACTTCACATTATGGCCACGCAGGGGGGGGCGACTGAGCCCTGGCACGCACCTCTGGACTGCCACTGTTACACTGCAAAAACATATCATTCAGAGCGGTGCAGAAGACAAATGGTGCAGAGAAGAGGCGTGTACACGTGAGCGTGTGTTGTCAGCAGCCATAAGGATGTGACACAGCTCCCAGCGTCCTCGGCAGCTTAGCTAAGATAGAGGTGACGCTCCGCGGTTGGTCGTCTCACCTCTGCAGACTGCCGCGTTACGTCTCTGTAAAGTGCATCTCCGAACATTTGGTGGCATGCTCGTATATTGTTTGCTTACACAGTGCGCCATATGTATCGAGTGTATGTGCACCGGATATATATCTGTGTGTGTGTGCTGCTGAGCCTGCCATGTTCACTCTCTTGTACCACTAATCTTCGCCTCTCCTAATTTGCTGTGTTGAACTATGCGGATGTGGAGCTGCTGAGTATGACTGCAAACAGCTTGTCGAGCTGTGCTGATACAACGCTGCAGCATCATTTATGCATGGGAGAAGACCGGGCTTTTTACATGCACGCCACTAATTTGCTATACTGGCAGGTTTTTATAATAACGGGAGGTTTGGTCGAGCTCAAAGACGAGGGTGAGCCTGGGATATAATCACTGCTACTTCTGAACAATCCTGTTCAGTTCCTGCGCAGAGAAAGCTAACAGGCTGAGGCTTAATGCACGATGGTGTGGATCAAAGCAACACAGTATGTGCTTAATGCTATTACACATTTGATCTGAATTTCACTCTGCATTTAGCTTATTGGTCGGCGCTTGTGAAGAGAACAGTCGTTCAGGTACTGATGCAGAAACGCATAAAACCTCAAATAAACTGAATTGAACTGCAAATGAAAAAGATAAATAAATAAATCAGACATTTGTTCTCGGACGTGTAAACACTTAACAAAGTGAGTGTTTCCATAGTGTACTGGTTTGAGCCCAGATGGAGACAAATCCATCCGGTAATTGTCTCCATCCAGGAGGACTGACAGGAGGGTCACATGGCATAAAAATCGTAGTCGTGTAGTAAAAAACAACAACAAAAAAACCATTTGTGCACAGAATATTTTTATCATTACATTTACATTAAAACCAATGATTCATTTCTATGTGTGGCAACTACGACGCTGGTTTGTCCCTGTTTTGAGGCCTCAGTGTTCGATTGTTGGTGCTGTTGTGTTGACTTTTTAGACATGGAATAAAGAGCCTGGTGATTAACCGAGGCTCCAAACGTGGAGAGGAAGATGCATCCACAGACTGTTTTTTTCCTTGTATGAGGCTATAAAAATGTGTTTCTGCCATATTTCTGTGTTCTAACCAGCAACCTGCTTTAGGAGCCTCCCGTGGTCACTCGAGGAACAGTTCACTGTGAACTTTTTGCCTTTTTCTGGTTTCGCCTCGTTTCTTGTTTTTTTGACGCTCTTTCTCTCGATTGCAAGTTAAACCACTTCGTACGTTACAGGCTGACAGGTTAGTCAACCACAACACACTGTTCAATGTCCCGCTATGTCAACTTAAAGTCACTGTGAACGCTGCTTGGCGTTAGCTTCCTTCCAGAGTCTGTTGGCTCGAACGTGTGATGCAGAGACAATGAAGGTGACGTTCAGCCAGTGTTTCAGAAAACGCAGTTTTGAACCCTAATTTGAACTTTTTTCAATTTTCATGAATTGAAATTAAACTTGAATTGACTTGTAAATTTGATAATGAATTTTTCTTTGGTTTCCTGAACGCAGAACTAAAACCTCTTGACCCTGTACGCAGATTTTAATGTTAATGTCATCAAAACTCATTAAAACATAACTAAAACACAGCTTCTCCTAAACGTCTGATGCAGTATCCTGTTACAAACCGCACTCGCTTGGCCTTTATGACCAATAATCATTGCTTGTTTTTTTAACCATGTCTATTTCACAGCTGTGGCAAACACCAACATGTGGTGCTGAGATAAAAGGAGGCTGTGGGAGGCCCGGTGCTAGCTAGTGTTTAGTTTCAGAAAGGAATGGATGATTCACATTGACTCAATGTCCAGCAAGTCCAAACCCTGTAACGACAGGAGACCACAGACTTCCTGGCTTCATTCCTTCAGTCAAATAAAACGTTTGCTAATCTTGTAATTATAACGCACAGTCAGCACTTATTTGCCTCTTTGCCGGTAATTCCTTCTGACACCAAACGATGCCGTGTTTGACCGGCTATTATTGTGACCAGGTATTATTCATCTTGACCGTACTTCATACTGTGCAATCAGTTGTGTATCTCTGAAGTCATTCTCTGCACTGTAGCCCAACCCAGAGCACGAACACAACACTGCTGCAATGTCTGCAGTGGATCTGCTCCTGCTGTGTGCATCTGTAGTCCACCTCAACACATCTACAGTCTGAAGGAGGCTGTAAAACTCTGAAAACGCTCTCTTTCAAAATGAAATAAATACCTGCACAACTGTTAAATGGTCACATATAGTTTGAAACACCTATTTATGATCTTTAAATTAAAACGCACCGTTGTCCATCTCAGCCACTGTATTTAAGATGACAGGGCAACAGTCAGTGCCACTCATGTGTACCGTATTCTCTGCACTATAAGGCGCACTTAAAATCCTTAATTATCTCAAAAATCGACAGTGCGCCTTATGTATGAATTCTGGTTGTGCTTACCGACCTCGAACTGATTTTATGTGCTACACGGCGCTCAGACATCTGTCAAAAATGTTTTAGTACGACTTTGGTAGCTACGAAGCCGCAGCGCCTGATGGATTTTGGAGCATTACAGCTACCGTAGTCAGGAGCCTCGCGGAGTAATCAGGGTCCTAAACTCCGTCTCTCAGGTCCCAAAGTCAAACGAACACTGCGGCATCACTGAGAGTTAAAAACTGTCTAAATTGTTTCATCTTTAATAAAATGATCAGCGTTGCTGCTTTACCAGGTGTAACAATTAAGTTTAACATCCAGACATCCATGAAAACAGAATTTATTACATTTAACAGAGTTAGAAGTTAGCAGGAAGTTAGCTCGCTAGCAGGAAGTTAGCTCGCTAGCTTCCACCTAAAAATGATATAGCATGTTCTGACTGAGAGATTTCTGAAAAATTCAAACGTACAGCTCTGCTGTCACTTCCAACATGAATGAAGACAGAAAACTAGACAGCAGTGATGTTTGTAGGGTTACTGAAGTTGGGCTAGCTGGTATATAATGATGTGCTACGTGATTGCTAGCTACACAGCTATGTTAGCATAACATTAGCACAGTGAAGCTGGAGGATGAACGCTAACGCTTGTTTCACTTAATGTGCCTTATAATCTGGTGCGCCTTATGGGCCGAAAAATACAGTATTTTTAAGTTTACAAATAGTTATTGGAAGATATAACTAAACACTAATCAGTGTATATTTAAAAGTACAATATCCTATTACTGTACCTTTAAGGTGAAACCGCTCCTAATTATAAACACCGCTGTGAAGAGTCGATGCTGTATTTGTGACTCGGGTCGAGTAAAGTCGTTTAAAACCAAAAAACTACAAACAATCAGCGCTGGCACCATCACTCCCTCGTGAAAAATAAAACTACAGGATTTTTGCTGCATCTGAAGAACCACACTGCCTGTGTCCTTAACAGCTCCTGGGCTGAATGTTCAAAATATTTCGCAAATCAGCTGTTCTTCCTGCTGTCTTAGACGTGCAGCTGCTGTAAAGACTTTCTTACCTTGATCATACGAGAGAGGTCTCCAGCATCTGCTAGCTCCAGTACTATGTTCAGCTCATTGTCCTCAATAAAAGACGCGTGGTATTTTATCACATTGGGATGGTTCAATTGCTGACAGGGGGGAAAGAAAAAGACAGACGTGTCATTCAGGAAGCATAAAAAGCAAAAATAAGACTCGCTGGTGACACTTGTCACATTAAGAACCGACATGGTCACATTCCTCAGGCGTCTTGCAAACTTATTACACCATTTATATAAAATGAGCCTGACGGTAACAAACACAGGTTTGTGTCATGAACTTTGACCGCCAATTAAAACAAGACTGTTTAAACCGTACATGGGATTCATACATGTGGACCTAATGAGAAGGTTTAGTCCCCAAGTGTGACAAAGCTGGCTGACATGTCACAACAGCCCCCTGTCTCTGATGACAACAACTCATGTGTGAGACAGACACACACATGCACACACACACGCACGCCTGACAGGCTGACACGGCTGGCAGTCAGAAAAACAAGCATCCCAGCCTCTGCTGCAGCTGAGATTCCTTCCTGTTGGTTGGTCAATAAGGCAGGAACAGCATTCCTTGTAGTAAACAAAAAGTTTCAATCCATCCAGAGCAAGAAGAGGGAAAGGGGGGAGGGGGGAGGAGCAGTGAAGAGGAACAAGCAAATGACACAGTGACACAGACAAGCAAGGCGGATGATGGAGACAGGGCAAGGTGAAGAGCTAGGGAACGAGAACAAAGGTGAGGAAGGAAGAAAGAACAGGAGAGCGGTACGGTGAGCCGAGTTGGAGCAGAGGGGGAGGGAAGCGGCGGTGCTGTGCGAAGAGTCGCGGCGGTGATGTGAGCAGACGGAGTGGTGTGACACGCGTCCTCCGCTCTGCTTTCTGTGCTGTGATTAAAGAAATGTTCATGCTCTGGATGATGCTGAGAGGAGCACAGTACAGTACAGTACGCTATACTCTCCACTCCATCTCTGCATCCTTCCACATTCCCCTCTCTCATTTGTTCTCCCGCTCCCTTCCTCATGTCTCCATCTTTCCTTCTCCCTCCCTTGTCCTCTCTCGCCAGATGTATTTTTGGCTCGGAGTGGCAGTTCTGCACGGCTCGGCGCTGCAGCACAGCCGAGGAGCGATGACAAGTTCTCCCTCCCCTCCTCGCCCCGCTCCTCTCCCACAACTTCAACCCCAGGCGAAGGATACAGATATGTTCGCATGCAGATGTTTATGTAAATGATGGATGGGACCTTACTGCAATGCAACAGCCATTCGTTGGGAAATATCGCATAGAGTCTCGCATGATTATGTAATTACACATGCTGGCTGAGACCCACCGGTGTGTGTAATTACTTAATCATGCACGACTCGATGTGAGATATTTGTTGAGCTGGTGATGTGCTCCAAAGAAGAACGAGACGCTGACTAATGTAACGTGATGGCACAAAATTAAGCATGCTAGCAAATTAAATAACAGCGTAATTATAAATGAAATTAGACGCCAACAGGAAAGCAGCTGGTAGGAATGGAAACGCTTCGTTTAGATGGGAATCGGCGTTTACTCGGCCTCTCCGGCAGAAAGGAAGAGTTTGCGTTCCACTAACGTGTTTTCCACTTCACCAAATGTAAAAATAATCCACTTTAGCTTGTTAGAAGAAGGATGGATGAAACACACATAATAAAACACATTTAAAGTATATTTTAATGTTTAACCCTTTAAGACCGACCATAGAACCAAGTCCGCCAGAGCTTATATTATATGTTTACATGCTGTGGAGCCATTTTTGGGAGCATTTCAAGTTGCTATACATCAATACAACCATTACAGCCCAGA